TGGTTTTTTTTTTTTTTTTTTTTTTTTTCTTTACCTTTGATTTAGTTGCTTTCCTCTACCAAATCTCACTGAAAATAATGGTAACACTGTCTTTGAGAGAATGTAACTCAAGGAAGGATCATGGAACACAGCAACATGGCAGTTTGTAAAAAATACGTTTCTAAATTCAATTTTACCTTGATTTGGGCTTTGCTAAACTAGCTTTCCTGGTGAACATAGACAGAAAAGTACAGATTGTTTCCTGGAAAAAGAATGCAGTGGCATTATGCATTTACATTATTACCGTTATGCCTTTTGCATACAGGTAGGCCTACCAGAATATCTGATTATATAAATAAAAAAATCTGCATTTAGATTAGGCCTTGATGTTACCTTTGGTGCTTCACAATCCTTTCAGCAATGATCTCTGTCTTCTCCTTAAAAATAACCTAGCTTTAATTATATTTTAATTATCTTTTCAGCTTAAAAATCTGCCAATATTTCTGCACAAGTAAGAGCTTTGACTTGTAGAATGTACATAGGACATTTCTCAACATGTTTTGACTTATATATTAAACTCTAATTCAATACTGCACAGGCAACCAAACAGTTCGTTATCAAAAGTAGATGTGCAATGGCATGCAAAGATGTCTGCTGCATGGGCACTAGTAATAAATAATTACTACTGTCATAGTAAATTCTGATCATATAATTCTGCATTTTTCTTTGCTTTCATCACACAAAATTTGTTATGAAGACTTCCAGTTGCATGTGTTTGATATGCATTTACCAGAACATGTCTTATAAAGTTCAGTAATTGTGAATGGTAATACTTATATTCACAGTTAATTTCACCAGTTGAAGACTATGCATATTTTTTTTCTGGTCGCTGTTACGTGAACAGGGTACATTCAAATGTCTACAGAGTGAGTTCTTTGATTGTCACCTGTTTTCACCCCAGGCTTTTTTCCGCTAAGCACATTGTAAGTTATTGAATAAATTTCTCATATACTCAACAACAATTTCCTAGGAACAGGATATTAAACTAGCTTATCAGCTACTGAGGCTTTGGTACAAAGTGGTCTGGGGCCACATTCTTTTTCTCCAACTACTTTGATTTGATTGCATATATAGCCATATCCCAAAAGCACCAAGCAAACTGGAAAAACCTCTTAATCTCTTAACATGAAGTGGACTGAAAGACAACTGTTGGTCAGTATTAAGGCAGATGTGGAGAATGCAGTAAGAAAAACTTGGGCTCAACCTTTCACTTACAATGCCTACTTATAAATATAGAATAAATAGGGAGGTACATTCCAAGGATTAAAATGCAAACAGCTGGCTCTTTTACTTATTCCTCACCCAGGCAGGCTCCTGTTGTTTTTATTGGGTGTTGCCCTGAATCAGAAGTGAAAAGGAGCTCAGCTTTTGAGCAGTAATGAACTCTGAGCTAAATTCACAGAAATATTATAGACAAATAGCTTCTTCCTGTACTTAGTCGCCTCTGAGTTTTTATTTTCAGTTTTTAACGAGTTAAAAGATTTGCAGAAAAATGCTTCCACAGCTTTTTCATACCTCTTCTTTCTTTTCACCAAACATTTTTCAAAAGGTGAACCTCCCCATATTTATACTTCCATAGCATGTCATTATTATAATTTCCTGAGCTCTGACAGTTTGTTAGGTGCTGGAAGAAACATAAAAGAAGGTCAGTGCTGCCTCAGATGTCTTACACTCCCCAGTATGAATCCCATGTTCCCACTGGGGACTAAACTCAGATTGTTCCCCCAGTGGGATATCTGGGAAAAGCACTGCCTGACACAGGCAAAGGATATGAGATATGCTCTTGTATTATATTGTTTTGCTCTTGTGGAAAAAGTCTGAAATACTTTTAATATCTGAATGATGGTAGTACATGCACTTTAATGAAAAGGGACTAAGAGATGTGCGCATGCCTGCTATTATTGGTATCATGAAGAAGTGGTGGAACGGATCCTATGACTGGAGTGTTGGAATGGAAGCACAGAGGCTCTTTAGGAAGGACAGGCAGGGGAGACAAAGAGGGGGTCTCGTCATAGGTCACTCTCTATGTCAGTGATGAGCTGGAGTGCATGGAGCTCTGCCTGGGGAGGGATGAGGAGGTGACCGAGAGCTTATGGGTCAGGGTTAAAGTGAGGGCAGGGACAGGGGACTTTATTGTGGGGGTTTGCTACAGGCCACATGACCAGGAGGACCGAGCAGATATCTAGACAGATAGGAGCAGCCTCACATTCACAAGCCTTGGTCCTCTTAGGGGACTTCAACCACCATAATATCTGTTGGAGGAACAACAAAGCACAGCTTAGACAGGCCAGGAAGTTCGTGGAATGTGTTGATGACAACTTCTCCAAGTGATAGAGGAGCCAACCAGGAGAGGTGCTATGCTGGACCTTCTTCTCACCAGCAAGGAAGGGCTGGTGGGGAAAGTGAAGCTCAAGGGAAGCCTGGACTGCAGTGACCATGAATGGTGAAGTTCAAGATCCTTAGGGCAGCAAAGAGGGTGCACAACAAACTGACTACCCTGGCCTTCAGAAGACCAGACTTTGGCCTCTTCAGGGATGTGCTTGGCAGAGCACCATGGGATAAAGTCCTGGAGGGAAGAGGGACCCAAGAAGGGTGGTTAATGTTCAAGGATCACCTCCTCCAATCTCAGAAGCGATTCATCCCAACAAAGAGGAAGTCAGGCAAAAATGCCAGAAGGGCTGTATGGATGAAGAAGGAACTGTGGACAAACTCAAGATGCAAAAAGGAAGCCTACAGAGGGTGGAAGCAAGGACAGGTAGCCTGTGGGGAATACAGAGAAACTGTCTTAGCAGCCAGAGATCAGCTCAGGAAAGCTAAAGCCCTGACAGAATTAAATCTGTCCAGGGACGTCAAGGGAAACAAGAAGAATTCCTGAACACAAAATGGGAGACAGTGACAGGTAAGATACAGAACGTGAGTACATTCATCAACTTTAGACTGTCCACAACATTTGCTCCTACATGTCCAGCCACATACAATTTTTACATACAGACACATAAATCTGTAAATTTGCAAGAAATCTGGTTTCATTCGTTCTTATGCTCAGAGACAAATTTTTGGGAGTGCGATTTAAAAGGCTTGCTAAAATACTAGAATATGTGGAAGTCTGCTTTGTAGAGGATAGGTTGTATGGAATGCCTAAAATCTTAATGTCTCAAGAAGCTATAACATAAGGCAAAGTGCTTCAACAAATTTACTATAAGGAGATGCATATTATAGAGTATTGATAAATAAATTAATAGGAAATTGGGAAAAATGTCTCTCAACAGGCATCAAATCATACTACCCAACCTGACCACCACTTTCACCACGATTCGCATGTATAACCAAGTACAAAGGGAAATAATGACCTTGCAGTTTGCCAATACCACTGAGGGATAATAAGTTTTGTTTCTTATTTCATCTTTTCCAATGACTTGCTGTATGACTCTTAACAACTAATTTAATCCGTCTATTTTTGCACTGAGAGAATGTAGGTAATTATACTAACTTAACAGTCTTCCTAGAATGGGAGGATTAATTTCTTCTATTAATTTTGGTTTTGATTTAAAGCACAAGGTCTTCACTGCTGAGCACCTTTGGAGGCATGATCTTTACGGATCAAGCTAATGAAATTATAACTGAGGCAATCTATAATTCCAGACAATATTCAAAATGCTTTAACATCCTGTAAATACAGGTACAAAAAGATTTGACTCCATTCAGGAAATACTCAGCAAACTGTATGAATAGATTTGTATTATTATTTATATTTATTCCACATTCTTAACCCTGGTGTTTCAATAAACATTAAATGTCTGTCTTCCATGTTCTCTGATCTTTTCTAAGCCTTCTGTGCCTTTCAGCACTGAAGTCCTCCTTATTTTGTTTTCCTGTAGACTTTATTCTCCTTTCTCATTTTTAAAATCACTCTAAAAACACTAAAATAACCAGCTTCCAAGAATCTAGAACGAGAGGGATTGGTATGCTGTAATCCTTGTAATTCCTATTCGTCAGTTTTTGGATGACAACAGCAACACTGGTTTTCAAATATGCTAAGCATTTGTAGCTTCACTGGACAGGGAGCAGTAGATCTCAGCCTTACTAACTGAAGGTATCCCAAAATGAGTTCACCAAAATCAGTAATCTTAGGAATTTGCTTTGAAAGCAGCAGCACAGTAAGCTATGTAAACTGTAACAACACAGCCCTGGAATACAGGACACTCATTTTACAGGTTACTTCTATCAGAATTGGCACACATGTTCTGACAATGTTCTTATCATTGTGATTTTAAGGCTTTCTAAAAGATCTGCTCTTGTCAAAGATTTCTAAAGAATCCCCATCTCTTCCTCTCCATTTTCCTGATGTTTTTCTCTGCAGAGTTTATTAATTCATACCTTATGATGCCTAAAGAGGTTTGCTACTTTGCAAACAGCATGGAGTACTCATTTCCCTGTAACTGAGCTCAGCCTGCTCCCCAGGTACATCATTTGCAGTTTCAGCCCCTCACAGTCCTAAGCTGAGAGTTTAACCTTGAATACAGATTAAGGTTTCCACCTATTTTCAATAGAAGTTGCCATTTATCCTTCTTAATTTTCATGTTCTTTGATTTCATACACAATATAAGTAGTAGTTTCAAAAGCTGTTTCACTGCCTAAAACACACTTTCTTCAATACTCAGGTTTTTAAATCAACATTATATTCTATTTCATTCCATCTTCTGAATGCCATAGATACATTTGTATTCTCCCTTCAGACATTCTCCCTGCAGACCTTTAGATATTCTAAAACTAATTCCTCTTGCACAGACCAAAGAAAATAATTTTGTCCCATCCAAGTTGGCAGTGCCATACTCAGGTCCCCAATTTGCAATTCTAACATCTTTTTTTCTTTGACAGACTCAGAAGTCTCTTTGCCAGAGAGACAAACCAGAAAGCAGTAATCTTGACATAAGATGCATTGAAAGAAATTCTGGGCTTACCTGCAATGTACAACCATAGGTCCAGCATCAGGTGGGTTGCAGGTCTTGACTCGTCGCAGGAAAGCTAAGAATGGTGTTGGGTGTTCTGGAACACCATGGTCAGGCCAGGCAGTGAACTGGAATTGCCTCACTTCCCTTTTCTCACTTGAACCATTCTAGGAAACAAAAAAACTTCACGATAAAACTGCCACTTGATGTGATACTGGCACTTTTCAGTGAAACAACTGCAGAAGCACATATACCAGTGAAGTGTATTTAAATCACATTTGGGTCCAGAGAGAAACAGAACTCAGGCTATGGAGGCAAATGCTTCTTAGATTTTAAATTGCAGGATTCAAACAATGTAAAAGCTTTAACTATACTGCATGGTAATGCATCACAACAAGTGCCAGAGATTTAGCTAGTATTTCATTCAGTTAAATGGTTTGTCATAGTGAGAGCTCTGTACTAACTTACAAAACTCCTGGCTGTAAGAAAAATACACTCTGTCTGTAGGAGAAGTCATATTGCTCAGTGCTGTTAGGAAGAAATGAGGGAGGAAAGAGGAAGGAGGGAAAGGAAAGAAAGGGAGTGAGAAAACAAGGGGGAAAGGCAGGGAAGGCAGGAAGCAAAAGAAAGAAGGGCAGGGGGGCAGGAGGGAGTGATTGATAGGAGTGAAGGAAGAAGGAAGGATGGAAGGAAAAGAGAGGAGAGGAGAGGAGAGGAAAGGAAAGGAGAAGAGAGGTGAGAAGAGAGGTGAAAAGGAAGATGAAAAGGAAAGGAAAGGAACATGAAAATGAAAGGAAAATATAAAAGTTGCCTACATCTAAATTTTAAAGTATATTGTAAGTATATACAAATAAATATACACACCTTGTAAAGTGCAAATGTACGAACACAGTATGTTGCCAATTCAATAGTGTCTAAAAGGGTCACTTGGATTAGTCCATAAGTTTCTGTGCCTCTGCTTGGCCAGTATTGATCACACTTCACCTGTAATTAAAAATATGTAATTACTTGATACATTTAAAACTGACATTAATAAATGAATAAGTATCTGAGTGTATATCATTGTACATTTTTAAAGTATGTGGAGTCAGAATATTCAACAACTGCTAAGAATCCAACACATGAAATTTATTTTTTCATCCATAATAATTTCTCTTGTGGTAGTAGCTCTTACATTATCTTCTTCCATAATGGTTATTTGTAAATTCAGTGGTGCAGATGACTAAAAGATACCAATAATTATAGATACACTAAAGAAAAAACAATTTATAGCAGCTAAAAATATGACCTATATCTTCAGTAACCCATCTTTCACAGTCCAGAATTTAATAACAGTACTAATCCAGTAAAGGTAGACAGAGATTTTTTTAAATTATTGCCATATTTAATCTGTTTCCCATTATTCCCCAAACATATAAACTGTTCATTGGATGTAAATATTTAGTATGCATAGAAATATCTCACCTGAAAAACTGATTTTTTTGAGAAATAATGTTAGTACATGGATAAATGAAAGAGCACCAAAAACTATTAAGTGCACTGTGAGAAAATATAATTTCCTTCTCAGAGCTGTGTTACAAAGCATATAACAAAATTGTGTTCACAGGCATATAAAAAACATATTTTGATAGACTTCCTCCATTAAATTTCATTCAGAGACATCTCCATTTCAAAACACTATAGTTTAGGATTTTAACAAGCTGAAATAATTCTATATGAGATGATGCATAAGAGAACCATATGTTTATCATCATTTCTCAGGCTCAATAATTTGCTTAATTTAAAAATGGTATTTACTATAAAAGCTATTATGAAAAAAAGAAATGCTGAACCCCTAAAACAATCAGAAAACATGATACAAAATAGAATGGGGGCTAAATAATTGAAAATATTTTGCTTTCAGTGACTGATAGGTGAAACTGAGACAGTCAGTCTCCGTTCTATTTATAACAATGCATTCTTATCAATTAGCCTTGCATACATAGAGAAAAGAAGTGAATCTGAGTCCAGTACATTGGTTTTATTTAATGTCTTCATTAATCACTGGAAGCCTGACTCATTCCAAATTCAGTGAGAATACACAAACTGTAAGAAACAACAAAAGCAGAATATTTCACAGTATTTCTGATAGAAATGTAAATTATCATGCTAATCCAAGAGAAAAACTGGAGACTTCCCCAAAATGGAAAATTAGGAAATGCATCTTTGAAACTCGTGTTCTCCAGACTTCTCACTCTTCACAGTGCTTATTAAAAAACACTTAGCATGCTTTCACACTGCCCAGTCCTGAATAGCTTTTGCTTGCAGATCATTTTATTTTGAGGCTCACAGATCACAGATCACTAATGGCTCACAAATGGGAGTCTGAGAACAACTAATCTAGGTAAAGAGGAGAAAAAATTCTAACCACTGAGGCAGGTGATGAACACTCATTAGAGACAAAAAAAACCCCTGAAACTTCTTCTTACAGAAATTGATAGCTTAATTTATAGATAAGGAATTGGAACAAAGTGACTAAAAATCTTTATGTATACTACAGTATTTAAAATGGAGTAATAGTGTATAAAATCCTCTTATTAAGAGGATCTAAGTAATTACTTCCTGGTACCATTTGCTGAAATACTGAAAGAGTAAGTACTGCAGGTATTTCACGAATATCGTTGAGTCATTTGCCAGATTCTTAATACTAAAATAAGCCATTGTGGTCTTCTGCAAATTAGAGAAAAGTATATATTCAATGTAGTTATTTCAATATAATTACAGTAAATTTAGTTTCACTTTATCATTAATATAGACACAGTATAACTTGTGTCTATATTGGTTAGCCATACTTTAGACAAACAAGTTGTGGTTTATTATGTATAATTTATTAATTCCCATAGAATGACATACATTTTTTAACAGAAAATGTTAATACATAATAGCTGTTGTTTGTGATCTTAGTAACTACAGGTTCAGCATAAACCTCTGACTAAACCTGTTCAGTTTGTATGATTTAAAAAAAAAAAAAAAACAAACCTAAAAATGGTAGAATACTTCATATATTTTAAAAAAATTAATAGAATAAATAAATATCTGGCTATGCCTTTGCATGCCTAAACATGTAGTTCTCTTTACCCTGCCGTTCCAACATATAAATTGTATGCTCGTAGAAGCAGTACCAGCTTCCAGAAAGCATGCCCGAAAATTTAACCAGATTTCTCTCTAGAAATACTTTATAAAAACAACTCCCAAATGCAACAGAGAAATAAATTTTCAACACAAAAATTAAATGTAAGTTCAGAACATAGTAGGTTACCAGCATTTCTGCAAGCAACAGAAAATACTTTTTTTTTATTTTTACTTTGAATAGTAATCTAATGTTAAGCACATACTGAGAAGCCTGTAAAAAACTTCTTCTTTTCAGTTAGGCTGGGAGAAAATAAATATACAGAATTTATGTGGGTTTTTTTAATGATTAGTTTATCTAATGTAAACTCCAATCATTTTATACTTTTTTCTAAACTACTTTCTGTAAGAGCTAGCTAATGCAGAGGACTGCTGCTAGAAGTAGATATTAACTATTCAAAAATAAATACCATTTGTAGTCCAGTGTATATATTATTTGAAAGTGTAAACTGATGAAAGTAAGTATCAAAGTTTTAGAATGAAAACCTGATTTTGGATTGATGTGGGTTTGACCTTCTGGAAGAGCACAAGAAGCATAAGTTGATGGAACTACATCTTTTAATATTTTTGCTTCTGGATTTTTCTCAGAACATGAGGTCTTCTTCAGAGGCATGCCCTTACCTGCCTCCTACACTCTTCTGCTCTGTGATCATAAACCCTACATTCCCAATACTCCTAACAACTTAAGAGTCCAATTTATCTTTGGGAGAGATCAGAACAATGTTTTATATTGGACTTCACCAGCAGAAGACAATCAAATATAAGTTAATTGTTAAGATACTATTTTGTGAGACAGAGTTCTTGTTAAATGTTTCATCCTATGTTAAGATCCTGGCCTTCAGCACTTAAAGTGAGTTTGTTTTTCAGAGGTTACATATTCATGTTTTTTTTCAGAAAAAAACTCTCAAACCACTTGATTCATCCAAAACTTATCACTATCACATCAACAAGTCAGTTTTGAAATTACTTGCCAAATGTTACTCTGCTTTAGCTCTTTGGTCTGTATTTAATTTCCTTGTAGTAAGGGCAATTTCCTTCTCACTTGTATATGTTGTCTGGAAAACAGACAATTTAAATGTGGTAAGGCATGGTGATGATAACATGCATCCTCCTTCATAAACACTATTACAAGATTTATTTATTTTCAGAGTCAGATTGTAATATACCCTTGGTGAATTTAATGGTCCTCACCTTCCTCTTATCCACTCCACCCCCAGTTCCAACAGTTGATCTTTTCCTCTGCAGACTATATTCACTTGCACCCAGTGAGGGCTTTTCTGTGTCACTAATTGTACGTGGTTACAGAAAACAGTTTTCACCAATAATACGTAATGTTCTCCTGCCTGTCGAAACAGTTTTCACCAATAATTTGTAATGTCCTCCTGCCTGTCACTAAGGATGGCAACATGAACTAAACTCATACATGAGCACAAAGGAACTCGCTGGTGATTTCAAAGAGTGTTTTTTAAAGACAAATTAAATCAAAAGTAATGACAAGCATACCTTTTACTACAACTTGACTGTCTCATGATCCTAGGTTACACACCACCGAAACCACTACATCTGAGATCAGAGCAGCTCTCAAAAGACTACTAAATACATTATGAAATATTTTAAGTACCACAGTAGTAGACATAGCTCAAAGACATAACTAATGACAGGCACATTCTCTTAACCTGCCCCTCAAACATACATATGTTTTATGTCTCTACATTTCTTCCACTCAGACCATGTGAATCCTTGCTCTTCATGGAAGAACAAGCATTCACTGAAAGCAAAGTTGTAAGAAAACGTAAATGCTTTCTATTAAAAATTATCAGCTTGAGACCATTTCAGACTTGAGGGGTTTAAGTAGCTATGGAGTTCCTAAAAATATTTGTGGATATTCACACTTCAACACGTCACAGACACTAGACAAGGTGCTGCCATACACCAACAGAGCTGAAGAAAGTGTATTTCCATATGAAGATATAAATAGAAAGATTCCTGACATTCAAGGGTAGAAAAATAATTTTCCAGTGTAAAGTTCCATTATTCAGGATGAAAAGTCTCTTCGTGTGAATCTTAACACATGAGCCAGCTGTTACAGACCATCTGAGATGATGAGGACAAAATGTAGATCAGGAAAGAGACAGCAAACTTGTAATAGGCAGATTCATGTAGTACATTCCTTGCTGTAAGAACAGCATATGAATTACACTGAATCTGGAATAGGAATTAACAGTATGTAACAGACTTCTTGCTCTGGTTTTCTTAATAATAGACTTTTGAAAACAAAACTTTCTAACAAGATTTTCAGACAGTCTTCCTTCAAAAATAAAGTATTTCTACAACAATGTGGAGTGATAATAATAATTACGTAATAAAAAAGGTAGTTGGCAATGGAATCTGCCTCAAACCATATCAGGCTAGCTTAGTGCCTCAGACGTTCCAGCTCATGTTCTGTATCCAAGCAGTTGTTAGTCTGAAGCCATTTTCCTTTCTGCAACAATGCCTTGCCGTCTAAAGATTAGGCTTATTCAAGTCTAAAGATCTCAGGCACTGACTCTAGCACATGGGATTGTAATGCAAAGTTTTTAAAAAAAATCAGAATAAAGAAGGCCTTATTTTTAGGCCTTGTATGAACAAGATTTAGTCGAGTGTCCCTCATTCACTTTTGTCTAATTCTAAATGACAGTTTAAAAATATAAACTCCTACTCAGAAATAAGGCTGAAAAGAATACAGTTTAAAGTTTTAGATTTTGCTTTCAGAGAGGCACTGAATTTAAGAGGATCCTAAATTCTGAAAGAACTGAGCAGCCAGCCCCAGGTAGACA